TATTCCCATAGGGATCCTAGCATCCGCAGAAGTGGGACTGCAAACATATTTATCAAGGTACTACTAATTCCTTTAGTACACCTTTGAGAACTTTCCCCCTTAAATTACTTGACCTCAGTATTCTTCTCTCTAAAAGTATTAAATGAGTTGATGGATATATAATGGAGAATATGTCTAGTTTGTCTAGTGGCTCAATTTAATATTGCTTCTATGCTTTTTTTTCCAAGCATTAATGTTTGCGTTTTTTGCGGGATGTGTAGAATCTGGACAAGACGATTGACCACAAAGCGCTTCACGATACTTTTTCTTCATTCGGCAACATTCTTTCCTGTAAAGTGGCCACTGATGCTCATGGCCAATCAAAGGGTTATGGTTTCGTTCAATTTGATAATGAAGAGTCAGCTCAAAAAGCAATAGATAAGTTAGATGGAATGCTGATCAACGATAAACAAGTTTATGTTGGACACTTTCTCCGCAAGCAAGAAAGGGATACTGCTCTTAACAAGACAAAATTCAACAATGTGTACGTGAAAAACTTATCAGAATCGATTACAGATGAGGATTTGAAGAAGACATTTGGCGAGTATGGGCCCATAACCAGTGCTGTAGTAATGAAAGATGGAGATGGAAAATCAAAGTGTTTTGGATTTGTCAATTTTGAAAATGCAGATGATGCTGCCAAAGCAGTTGAGTCTTTGAATGGTAAAAAGATTGATGAAAAGGAATGGTATGTTGGAAGAGCCCAGAAAAAGTCTGAAAGAGAGCTCGAACTGAAAGTGCGGTTTGAGCAGAGCATGAAGGAAACAGTAGACAAATTTCAAGGTGTAAATCTCTATGTTAAGAATCTTGATGATAGCATCGATGATGAGAAACTCAAGGAATTGTTCTCAGAGTTTGGAACAATTACTTCTTGTAAGGTCAGTAAGTAGTCTATTGACAACTTTTAAAAATGCCTTTGTCCCTCGTCTAACTTTTGAATAGGGAGTCCTTAAATTATCTTATTCCATGTGGTTAAACAGGTTATGCGTGATCCTAACGGAATTAGCAGGGGCTCTGGATTTGTGGCATTCTCATCTCCTGATGAAGCATCTCGAGCTGTAAGTCCTAAAATTGTTGGTGTCTGTTTGACATAGTATTTTACTTGCACAATATGTATCTGGGAAATATCATGTCCTTGTGCGTTGCAGCTTGCTGGTATGGCTAATAAGATGGTTGTCGGCAAACCTCTGTATGTGGCACTTGCCCAAAGGAAAGAAGAGAGAAGAGCTAGATTGCAGGTAAATACCTGTGGTGGCATATTGCAGGAAGAATGATATCCTGGTTGTTTTTCACAGCTTTGATATATTTTCCTTCCTCATTCCCCGTTTGATCTGCTGTATTGCTTTATGTTGTTTGCATACATCTGTCATTTTGGTGGCTTCGCAATACACAATTTCAGTTTTAAGTATGCAATTCAAAAAATTACTTTTTGACTGAAGGGTGGGCAGTTATTAATCTTGGTGTCTCCTCATCTGACAAGGCTCGAACATGCAAATAAATTTTTGGTTTTGATGAGTCAACTTGGGTACTTCATTCATTAGGAGTTTTGTATAATTTGTCTGACCATTTTGCAAAATTATATTGTCAAGGTCATTAATTGAAAAGCTAAATAAGATATCAATTCAAGATGTCGAGTGTTTCATGATTTTCCCTCTTTCCATTTGAAATCAACAGTTACATGTAACTTGCTATGGTTTTTTCACTTGTCTCTTGGCATTCAATTGCTGGAGATTTGACTGGTTATCAGGTCTTGTTGAAGCTAAGGGGTGATCGGTTTCTGGGTTAGTGAGTTCCGGCCTAGATTTGGGTGCTGATCACGTGGCTCCCAGTTTCTGAATTGGCGAGTTCCAATACGATTCGCAGTTCAACCCACCTGTCCACTATACGTTTTGTGTAAAAAACCTAATTGTTATCATAAAACTATTAAAATTACACCATTTCACTACAAAATCATAAGTTGGTCAAGTGGTTATGTTATTCGTTAATATTGAGATCATGGTTCAATTCTCAATGCTTGCAAAAATAAATTTTTTTCCTAAAAGAGGCTACAAAATCAGTTTAGAACCGGTGGAACCTGTTTGGAACCGGTTTGAACCTGTTCTCGGGTAGAATGGTTCTGGTCTTGGACTGGGGAACCAAACCGGAATTGACCTTGAACCGGTTGGTCCAGGGTGGCTTGGTTTAGTGCTCAACCCTAGTTGAAGTATAACCAATTCATCGTGAGATTCTTCTGATTTCTGTTGTTGCTTTCATCTTCAGGCGCAGTTCTCGCAGATGAGACCTGTTGCTATGGCACCATCTGTTGGTCCTCGAATGCCTATGTATCCTCCTGGTGCTCCAGGTTTGGGGCAACAATTTTTATACGGCCAAGGTCCACCTGCCATAATCCCTCCACAAGTAAGTATCAATTTCTTCATAAGTCAATGTGGTGATGTTTTTTGTTAATTGGTTCCTTCTTTTGTCCTGAATAAACTTTGTTCATCTTGCCACTGATTGGTTAAATGTTGAGTAACTTTTCTTTAATAATCTTCTTTTTCTCGAAGATTCTTGCTATTCCTTTTGTGCCATTTAAGAACCTTTCTGTCTGTGGCCCTTTCATCTGGCCTTTGTATTTGTTGAAGAAGGTGTCTGTGTGCTATTCGGATGGGAGTTTATTGTTGCCCACAAAAGTGTGCGCTTTTGAACGTTTACCATGTGTAGTCTTCAATATCTGCTGATTCTCATTTTGTATCTTGTGATCCGATTAAATTCCATGCCCAAGTTATTTGCCGCCTGGATCTATTAAACTTTGAATAAGGGACATATGCATTATTGAGTCAAAATAATATCGATTCACATTTTGTTATATTGATGCATCAACTAATATGGTGTCTTATCACTGTCAAAGGATGTATAATTGTTTTCTCTCTGCTATATCAATTAGACTTGGCAACTTTGTTTTACAAACATCTCTTTATGTTTAAACTTCTCCTTCTGTGGTCCAAGTCAAAAGAACGTGTTTGGAGTTCTTGATGTAATATCAATTCATCACATGCTGACCTATGAGCTTCATTGAAGGTCATCTGTTTGAATTCTTGGGCATTGTTTGAGATATTTGTTGGAATAGTAGGAGATATGTCTGGGTGAGAGTCTATGTGGCTTGTGTTATATTTCATAAATTCGCGTATGCTTTACCATGATGCTATTTGTAATACAATTTTGATGTTGTTGATCTCATGTACTCTCTAGGCTGGATTTGGTTATCAGCAGCAACTTGTTCCTGGGATGAGGCCTGCTGGGGCTCCCATGCCCAATTACTTTGTTCCCCTTGTACAACAGGGTCAACAGGGTCAACGTCCTGGAGGACGACGGGGAGCAGGTCCTGTGCAACATAATCAGCAGCCTGTGCCGTTGATTCAGCAGCAGGTTGGTTGAGAGTGAATGTAGACATTTTGTTTTACATGACAGGTCATTATCTGTTCATAACTACCTGATCTGTTTCATGTACCAGATGCTCCCTAGAGGACGCGTGTATCGGTACCCACCTGGTCGCAATTTGCAGGAAGTGCCAATGCCTGGCTCCGGAGGCATGTTTCCTGTGCCTTATGGCATGGGTGACATGGCTTTGCGGGAGCCTTCGGTTGCACAACCCATGCCCATCACAGCGCTGGCTACAGCGCTTGCAAATTCTTCACCTGAACAGCAGAGAACAGTAAGTCAAAATCAAATTGCTTTGCAGTGAAAAGGTTTATCATCCCTCTATACTCAAGTCTGAAGTTGTGACCTCTGCTTTCTTTGATCTGTCGCTCAGATGCTGGGTGAAAGTTTATATCCATTGGTGGATCAGCTGGAGCATGATAATGCGGCCAAAGTGACTGGCATGCTTTTGGAAATGGACCAGACTGAGGTTTTGCATCTGCTCGAGTCACCGGATGCACTGAAGGCAAAAGTCGAGGAGGCAATGGATGTCCTGAGGAGCGCTTCTCAGCCGCAGGCTAACAGCCCGGTGGATCAGCTGGCTGGTCTATCCTTGAATGATAACCTTGTCTCTTAAGCGTCTGGCTTGAAGGGGAGATGTTGGAGTGCAGAAGCCTTGTCGCATGTCCTTTGAGAGGCACCATATGTTTTTGATGGAGTGCTGAAAATTTGCTCGGTTTGGTTAGACTTTGGTATCACTTTCTTATAGACTGGTTTGCATGTTTAGCTGTGAAACCTGGTGGAGGACCGGAGATTTATTTGAGATACTCAGTTTCCATTGGTGTTAATGTTTGCTGTGGATTTGTTTTGCTCTTCCTTTCTCATCTTGTTCATCAGTCTATGCCCGTTGACTCTGGGTAATGGTTTGCATGAACATAGAACAGCATTGCCTGCATGAGTGTGTGGTAAAGGGATAGAACTTTGGTGTGTAGGATTTTGAGAAAAGGACTTTCGTTGATCAGAGCTTGAAACTTGCGACGAGATTGAAGATTATAATTTTGGCGATCTTCGTAGGAGACAAATCTTCCCTCTTACATCTAGTCTCTACTTTCAAGGGGCCTGGGTTTTATTTGGTCGGTAGCATGAATAATTTAGCCCGCACTGTCTAACTTCCAGTTACTTGGGGTAGTTTGCTTGCCCGTCTGAGGGGAGGAGAAGGTGCTAAATGGAGGTTGATAAAGAGTAGCTGAGAGGAGTTTGGCTGTGGCCGAGTTCGAGGTCGTCTAAGCAAAAGCATAAAACGTCGTCAATGTCTTTTCGGGATGCAAATAGAAAAAGATAAAATAGAAAGGCTCGGAGTATTGCTTGGGAAGGAAGTCACCTGGCGACTAGCTAAGCCGCCTTTGTCTCTTCCGTTTGCCCTGATAAAGATACAGATAAAGATTAAAATAAAGACACGAGAATTATAATTTTGTGGGTACTACAATGGGGAGCGGCACTGGCAAGTCCACGTGTTGTTATTAGCTCCGCTAAAAGAGAAGGCGGAGGTGCACGTATAAAACAACCAACCAAACCATCCTCTTCAACCTTAAGGGCGCACCGCCTTTGAGCCGAGACCAATAATTCATCATTCGTCACGTACATGACTCCTCCTCCTCCTCCTCCTCCTCCTCAATCCGTCCGATATATCTCCGACTGTCTCGTCAAACCACGCCGACTTCCCCGACATTCAGACGACCCTCTGCACTTGGCGCCGTGGGAGCTCGCCATGCTCTCCCTCCACTACATCCAAAAGGGCCTCCTCTTCCCCCTCCCTCCTCCTCACTCCCTCGACCCCGGCTTCGATCGCTCCGCTTTCATCCATTCCTTCTTGGAAAAGCTCAAGCGCTCTCTCTCTTCCGCACTCTCCCACTTCTACCCGCTCGCCGGCCGCCTCGCCACCCTCAGGCGAACCGACCCCCCTTTCCCCACCGTCTTCGTCGACTGCGCCAACAGCCCTGGCGCCCGGTTCATCCACGCTGCACTTGACATGACCGTGGCCGACATTCTCTCCCCGACGTACGTCCCGTCCGTCGTCCAGTCCTTCTTCGACCACAACTGGGCCGTCAACCACGACGGCCACGCCCTCTCCCTGCTGTCCGCTCAGGTCACCGAACTCGCAGACGGCGTCTTCATCGGGCTCTCCATGAACCACGTTATCGGCGACGGCACCTCCTTCTGGCTCTTCTTCAACTCGTGGTCCGAGATCTTCCAAGCGCAAGAGAAAGGCGGGGTTGATGTCGTCCAGCTGTCGTGTCCCCCGGTCCTGACACGCTGGTTCCCTGAGAACCACCCCGGCCCGATAAGCCTGCCTTACGCGGACGACCCCTCGTCGTTCCACGCCCGCTACGAAGTCCCAGATCTCAGGGAGCGAGTCTTTCACTTCTCCGCCGACGCCATCGCGGGTCTCAAGGTGGAGGCAAACCGGCAATGCGGTATCACCAAGATCTCGTCCTTCCAGTCCCTGACTGCCCTGGTATGGCGGTGCATCACGCGTGCCCGCCACTTCCCGCCCAGCCAGGTCACATCTTGCCGGATGACGTCGAACAACCGGGTAAGGCTGGACCCCCCGCTCCCACCGTTGTACTTTGGGAGCCCGGTCACGCTGTTGAGGGCGGCGACGACGGTGGGGGAGCTGCTAGGCGGCGGCCTTGGGTGGGTGGCGCTGCTGCTGCATGCGGTGGTGGCAGAGCACGGCGACGCGAAGCTGCGCGAGTGGAATGAGGAGTGGATAGAGAGACCGCAGGTGTACCGCCTGGACAAGTTGTTAGATCCGTGCAGCATCTTGATGGCGAGCTCGCCTAGGTTCAACATGTATGGCAACGACTTTGGGCTGGGGAAGGCTTTGGCTCCGCGAAGCGGGTGCGCCAACAAGATCGACGGCAACGTCTTTAGCTATCCGGGCCGCGAGGGAGGCGGGAGCGTCGACCTAGAGATCTGCCTTTCGCCAGCCACAATGGCGGCTCTCGAAGCTGACGCTGAATTCATGGCTGCCGCCTTGATGGATTTGTAGGTCGGAGGGCCAACACAACACGGTGGTGTTATGTGCAAGTCGAGTCGACGCCATTAGTTATTAGGAGGAATAAATACTTCTTGTTTGACTTGTAATGTTGACTTATTTCTCAATCTGTAGTGGATAAATTATGAGTTTATTTTATGCTTGTGTATGAATTGATCATCAGTCAAATCTTATTTTTGGTAAAAACCGTAAAGTAAAAGTTCAAGAGAGAGTTAGAGTGCAACAGACAAAACACTTCGAAGTTGCATGCTGTAAAGGACAACTCAGGCAGAGTTCTTTTCATATCAGGACCAAAAAAACAAAAACAATGGCCGAAGAGAACATTAGTTGGCCGGCATGAAGACGGCGTTGTTAGTTCGCTGCTGTGCTAACACTTGGAGATGTCGCTGCATGAATCATGAATATCACCAGAATTTTGAAATATGTTTATGCAGACGGACAAAAGAATAGAAATGACTCGCTCTCATGAAAACATTTGCAGAATTCGTTCCCGTTCATAGCTTTACTGGTTAACATCATTCTGCTGTGCCATTTTCTTTGAACATTCATGTCGAAGGTATTTGTTCCCGTCGAGGGTTATGGTTTCTACTTTAAGACTGATTAGCATTTCGATGATATATGGAGTCCAGACCATGATTATCGTACTGATTTTGTTACATCAATACCGGACTCTCTCCAATACTCATCTTTTCTAAGCATCCTCTTGTATATTACAAATCACAACCCCCGCCATCTCATGCTAGAACTTCTTGAAACAGTGTTGCTGCTGCTGGTAGGCAGAAAATCATGGGAACAAGACCAGCTACAAGTAAAATCTCAAGACTTACGAATCAATTGAAGGCCAAACCTACAGGACCACTGGAGTCAGTGACCATGGACTTGGATTGATGTATTTTATACATTTGCATGCCAGAGTAGATGGTATTTTTTTGGTTTTCTACTGTAAAATAGTGCCAATGATGATTATGGTTATACAAAGGTGCTCCAGCTTCTGTAGATGTATTTTTGTTTGGTTGAATATGGAGCAGCTTAATCAATGTAAAGACTATTTAATATTAATGAATTAAGGGCTTTTTGTGGGAATTGGTGCACTCTTTGGTCATTGTTTATTGATTGATGACTCCATTAGAACTGGACATTATGTGTTCAAAACTAAAACATAGAAGTTTCAATGATTGGACCTCAAAATTAAAACGAAAGAGTTTCATTGTTTTGATATCAAACAAAATTGCCTACATTCACATAAAAACAAAGAACTATGGAAACCTAAAAGTGTCTACACTCACATCACTAATTCACTAACACCTTCAAAAAATATCTCAATCTTACTCCTCAAGTGTCTCAACCAAATAGAGAATTATGGAAGACTTAAAACCTTCCCACCAACTCTAATATTACATACAACCAGCACAACAACACAATACATGAACTAAACAAATGCCAATTGATGTACCATCTTTTCTTTCTTCCCTCACAAGAGCTCCACCTTTAAATGTTCATGCTTCGCCCTTCCATTCTTAATTTCAGCTAATGGTGAGCTCACGTCGACCTTTTCGCCCCTCGATTGGCTTGATTCACACAGTATTCGATTCCTTTCAAGGAGGTCGACTATCATGTTCCTTATTCAATCTGGTATCTTTGCATCAACCCACATGAAGAAATCATTGCAACCTAGACCATTGAACTTACCACAACCATGAAATTTTTTTCGAGCTTGTCTGCTTATCTTTGTCGTGAAAATTGGTGACTGAAGATGACAAAACAGGTTAGCTTTGAGTCGACCTCATTTGGAGTCACGCCACATGAATTAGACGTTGGCGCCCTCATTCTTCTGGTCGCGATTCTTCGATTTGGCAATTTGGGGATGCGCAGCTAAAGTTAGAGATTACAATACCCTCAATTGTTCCCTCCAAATGTTGATTCTCTCCGCAATTAGATTAGGGTTCAAATGAAGGCATTCAATTTGAACCCTCATTGTTCAATGGTTTCGACGCCGTTTTGAAAGGCTAAAGGGGAAGTAACGATGGCGTTTTAATCCACCATGTACGACTCAATTAAGTGAATGGTTGCATAGGAGAGAGAAATCAATAAACAAAGCCAGGTTATAATTTTCCATTCATCAATTTGGACGGAGATAAGGGAGAAACTCGATTGTATCGATTTGACAAATTTTAAAAATTGATGGAACTTTTTTAAAGTTTTAAGATTTAATCGCATTTTCGCGAAAAGTTTTATAATATCTGGTGAATTTATTCTTTTAAGTGGTGGTTGGATGCATTTAAGAGTGGTAGCCCGCTTTATTTAATGGTTGCCAATTATCGAATTGGACTAGCTTAAATGTCCCAATGAAAGAGGAAAACTAATGCTCCAATATAGAAGTACAACAAGCAATCACCGCCCCATCAGACCCCACATCTTCCTACATCATTGTGATTGGCATCCTATGCTCTTCAGTATTAACAACTTCATCAGGGCAAAAGATGTAGTACAGTATCAGCCCTAAAATGACCAGTCCACCCAATCGAATCTTCTCTCTCTTTCTGCTTTGCTGAGTCGGTTTGAATCAATCTTGTTCTTTGCAAGCGATGACTCGGTGAGAGTTCTCATCACCAATAACGATTAATCCAGTTGAAGAAAGCAAAATTTAGCTCGCTACAAGGTTGGAGTAAGCAACATTATCCATATGAAATGCGACCCAATTATAAACCTTAAATTTGCCCAAAAAAATTTAACAAAGTAGACCTACCTTGATTTTGGACATGCCCGAATACGCATCGCTAGCTTCAATCCAAGATATTCGCGACATTGCCCTCCTTTTGTGACCTCCATTTCCAATCGATTGAAGTGAAAGACGCTAGCTTTGCTGATGTTGACTTTAAGAACCCTATCTTCCATCAGAAGCGCATTTGAAGCTTTTTTGGTCAATTTGGCCATTTAATTTTGACTTAATGGCAAGGGAGTGAAGCGTGCCATTGGGCCAAATCAGAAGATTTGTGGCAACATGCCCTGGACCATGGCACGAAAAATGGCACGTGAGATGCTCATGTCGTCGGCCGGTGAGTTAAGGGAGTCAATTGAGATGAATTCACCAATTTCATGACTTCTTTGAAACAAGCACCGCTCTGGAATTTTTTTTTGGCAAAAATAGGCCTCCCGTTAGGGGCCTTTTCAAATTTCCTTTTTTTTTTCTTTTAGGCAAGTACCATGGCGGGTGTCTTCCTCTAACATAGAAAATCACGCAAAATCTATTGTGCAAAGCAGATGCGATGCCCTGCAAAAAATTTTCAAATTTCAACCGTGGCACTACCTTATTGTTATCTCATTTTTGGCTATTATCATCAGAGCACAAGCAGCAGTTCAACTGGAAGCTGGGAGGAGGAGGGGGTTGCGGGTGAATTCGAGGTTTGCCTAAGCAAAAGCACGAAACGTTTTCAATATTTTTGGCAGAACGTGAGAAGAGAAGAGGAAAGTAAAAGGCTCTAAGTATTGCTTGGGGAGCAAGCGATTTGACCATTAGCTGCCTTTGTTTCGTTCTCTTGCCAGTAAGACAAAAAATAGTCATACTTTGACTCTTCTACCAGTCAAGCGTAGATCAACTCCTGCTGCAATTGGCGTGAGCATTTCGATATTCGGGGCACCCCCAGTGGGGAGTTGTCACTTCAGTCTAAGTTTGGCCAAACAAAAAATATAATAAGCAAAATTTGACATTTGGCAATATAGGTAATTATCGGGTACAGGTAACTCCCGTTAAACAGACACAATTTAAAGTCACATAAATTAAAGGAGACGAGCAGTGAAGGAATGAATCAAAGCGCAATCTTACACATTAAGCCCCATCAAACGACTCCAAGCGCACCAGGCATTGACCAACTTGACTCTATTAAGATGCTGTTAATCTCACCGTAAATTAAGGACTAAATTTACTATCGCCTAATAATTTCTCTATAAATAACACCACCATACCACCAACCCTACTCTTCAAGGTAAGGGCAAAGTCATAAACGCACTCTATCTTCCTTTCAGCCGACGGAATCCACACGGATCATTTCTTTCTTCCGAATCTCGACAAACACAAACCCACACAATGACTTCTCACTCCTCCTCGATCCGTCCGATTAAATAATATTTTAATAATTTTTTTGAATTTTTATTTTTTTCCTTTTTTTTCTTTTTTTTTCCACTTTTTTTTTTTGGTTTCTTCTTCATCTGGCCGGTCGCCGGTCCGGCGACCGGCCAGAGGCCAGTGGCCGGCGAGCTCGACCTCGCCGGCCACTGGGGAGGGCGGCCTCGCCCGGCGAGGCCGAGCCTCGCCTTGGTCGGGCGAGGCTCGAGCCCTCGCCGGAGGCCGCGGCGAGGGCGAGCCTCGCCATGGCTGGGCGAGGCCCGACCTCGCCGGATCTGGCGAGGTCGGGCCTCGCCCAGCCGCCGGCGAGGCTCGACCTCGCCAGATCCGGCGAGGTCGGGCCTCGCCTAGCCATGGCGAGGCTCGAGCCCTCGCCGCGGCCTCCGGCGAGGGCTCGAGCCTCGCCATGGTCGGGCGAGGTCGGTCCTCGCCAGCGGCTGGGCGAGGCCCGACCTCGCCAGATCCGGCGAGGTCGAGCCTCGCCCGACCATGGCGAGGCCGCCTCCCCAGTGGCCGGCGAGGTCGAGCTCGCCGGCCACTGGCTCTGCGAGTCGCCGGACCGGCGACCGGCCAATGAAGAAGAAACCAAAAAAAAAAGTGGAAAAAAAAAAGAAAAAAAGGAAAAAAATAAAAATTCAAAAAATATTAAAATATTATTTAATTTGTCCACGTCAGCGCCACGTCGGCGCCGGTGACCGGCCGCCGGCCGGCAGGCGTCCACAAATGCAAAAGGTTTAGGACTAAATTGGCACCAAAAAAAGGTTTAGGACTAAATTGGCACTTATGCAAAAGGTTTAGGACTTTTTTGGCACTTTTCCCCAAACCCACACAATGACTTCTCCTCCTCCTCGATCCGTCCGATCCTTCTCCGACTGTTTCGTCAAGCCGCCCCAGCTTCCGCCGCATTCCGACCATCCCCTCCACTTGCCGCCGTGGGACCTTGCCATGCTCTCCGTCCACTACATCCAAAAGGGCCTCCTCTTCCCCCTCCCTCCTCGCTGCCTAGACCCTGGCT